GTTGAAACCCAAACCTCCGGAGAGACAAGGTTTGCACCCTTTGTGGCAATGTGTCCAAATTTTGGAGGAACCTTCACCAGCCCAAAGAAATTTGTTGAAAATATGATCTAGTTCTTCTGTGTACTCATTTTCATAGAGAGAACTTGCATACTGTATAAGGGTAGAGAATGAAGTACACTTTGTAACAAGGTTAATCTCCCTTTAAAGGAGAGAAATACATTCGTCCCATCATGACTAAGAGATTTAATTTTATTTATAACAACATCAAATTATGTTTGTTTCCTTCTTCCATGAAGAAGGTTAACACCAAGGTATAGTAAAGGTAGAGGTGCTTTAGAGAAAACAGTAAAATTGGTGGCCCAAGTGGTAATAGCATAAGTAATTGAATTTCCAAAATACAGGTGACACTTAGCTTTGTTGAAAAGGAGACCGGAGTTTTGCTGAAAAGTTTTAGGTACTTTACCAAGATTTTGAAGGAGGTTTTAGATGCATTGGTAAAAATGATAGCATCATCAACATATGCTAAATGACTTACTAACACCTTGGATTTATGCCTGTATTGTACATGGGGGTGTTTTCTCTGCATACTATTAATGAGTCGTGAGAAGTAATAAGTAATCAAAAGCCAAGCCATGATGAAAATCATGGGAGAGAGTGGGTCTCCTTGCTTGATGCCTCTATGAGCAGAGAAAAAGCCATAAGACTTGCCATTGACTAAGACACTATAAAAGTTATTTTCCAGCCAACATTTAATCAAAGTGCAAAACATAGCCTCAAAGCCTCTAGCTTTGAAGAAATTGAGAATAAAATCCCAATTAATTGTATCAAAAGCTTTTTTTAAATCAAGTTTGATAATCAAGTTACCACCTCTGCACTTCCTATCAAGATCCTCCACCAATTCCTGTGCAAGGAGTATATTATCACCAATCTCCCTCCCATAGATAAAGGTTGATTGTTAAGGGGAGATAAGTTAAGAAAGATGAGGTTGAAGTCAAGGGAATATCAACTTGCTGATAACTTTAGATATAATAGAAGTAAGTGATTTAGGTCTAATGTTATCCCAACTAGCTTTAACATTTGTTTTAGGTATAAGCACAATTAAGGAAGAAAAGAAGAACTTCCCAGGGGTATGACCCATAAAAAAGCTTGGAATGGCAGCATCAACCTCCTTATGAATTATATCCCAAAAGTGTGTGTAAGAGAATGAAGTGAAACCATTTGAGCCAGGAGCTTTATTAGCATTAATATCCTTGAACATATTGAAGTTCTTCTGATCAGTAGGAATGTCAACAAGGGACAAGCAAGCCACATAGTCTCTATCTTTATCAAAAAAGTCACCATTTATAGAAGTGACCTGCAAGGTGGAAGCAAACAAATCAGTAAAATAATGAACAACACTATTACCAATCTCACCTTCATGAGTAATGAAATCTCCATTAGAATTCTTGATCTTGAGGATAGAATTAATATTTCTTCTGTGTTGATAGAAGCATGAAAGTACTTTGTATTACGATCTCCACTCTTAAAGTGAATATCATTAGCTTTTTTTTTAAGGAAATTCTCCTCCAAATCAATAGCATCAAGTAATAGTGAATGATTATAAGCCACCTCAGTAACCAGCTGAGGATCAGAGATAACCATAGTTTCAAGTGCATCCATCTTAGCTTGAGCTTCTAGGACCCTTACATGAACATTGCCAATAACTTGGGAGTTCCACCTTCTCAGAGCAGACGCAACCTTTCTATGAAGTTGCTAAAGGATATAGTAAGGATCAACAGCACCTTCAAAGTTCCAAGCCTGTTGAATAGTGATAAAAAAGTGGTGTGAGTAGTCCAAACATTAAAGAATTTGAAGTGATAGTGCGGATTTTTAACATTGAAAGCCAAAGTGAGTAAAATAGGGTTATGATCAAAATAAGAGTAATTTAAATGTCGCACCTTATTAATAGGAAAATAATTGGAGAAGTGGTGGTTACCAAAAAACCTATCCAAACTTTGATACTTAGTCCTTCTTCTCCAAGTGTATGGAGTACCAGTGAATAGCAAATCAAATAGCCCAACATCACAAATTTTATCACAGAAACGATTGATAAGCTAAATATCACATTTTCCTCCTCCTCTCCTTTTAGCAGGTATCATAATCATATTAAAATCACCACCAACTAACCAATTTCTAGTGATAGTTTCTCCAATATGAACCATTGATTCTAAAGCTTATATTTCTCCTGGAGTATAAAACTAGCATAAACAAAGGTGGCCCAACCCTGATACTCTTCCAAGTGATATTTAAGAAGAATAAATTGATTATCATCTTGAATTATGTTGATGTTGATAATAGGTTTCCAAAATAACCAAATCTTATTATTTTGGTTGCAAAAAGTATTATATATTTTAAATTGCTTGAGAATTTTATCTCTGCTAATAGAAGCCATAGGCTCAAATATAGCAAATAAAAAAAGCTTATGGACCCTAGAAAGATATTTTAATCTATTAAGGTAGGAAGGGTCCGCCACTCCTCTAATATTCCAGCACATCACATTAAACATTATGGCGCAGGCCAGCCCTTCTAAAAGATCTATAAGGGCTACCAACATAAGTATTTTCCCCATCAGAGAAATAATTACCTTCCTATAGAATATTACTTCGGTTCAATTGTGAAAGCTCATTCTTCCTTTTATTTCTCTTTCTCTATGATTTCTGGACTAACCATTCATGTTCTAAATTATTCACTACCTCATGTATCAAATCAAGTGAGACAAGGTCAGTAGGAAAAGATCTATTATCCTTAAGAGTTACCAAATTAGGATTTAGAGGAGGTGGTGAATGACCATCCACAACATCAGTAGGTGCCCGAGAAATCAACATAGAGTCATGCATAGCGGAATCAGATTACAAGTTAGCGACAACTAGTAAGGGAACATCAGAATTAGTTACAAGTTCAGTAACCGAATTGAGTACTTCCAGTGAATTATTATCACTAATAATATCAATAGAATCCATCTCCTTTTCCAAAGCAACATCAACTTCCTATGTAGAAAAATTAGATAAACAAGCATTTGGAACATTTTTTGGAAGAAGAGGGGATATCTGCTGAAGGTAAATTGTTAATAAGAGGATCAACACAAACAACATTAACATCAAGGGGAGCTTCTCTAGTGAAATTAGTTAAACTAACATTTGGAACATCAACATTTTTCTTCTTGAGAGGCAGTTTTAAAAGAAAAATAACATAATTATCAGGAAGAACAATATCATTTTTTTTCCAAAACTAGGGTAACAGGTGAATTATAATTTTTCCCAGGATCAGCCCTCACCTGTGGGTGAAGATGGAAGCAATGAGAAATTGAATGCCAAACATTTGACAGTGTGTACAGTAGTGGCGATGTCTTTCTATTTCAACAGGTTTTCAGTAGCCTTGGTGTTGTGACCCAATCCAGATCTCATCACAAAAGGTTTGGGTAATGTCGCGCTCAACCAATACCCTTGCTTCAGAAAGCCTAGTGAGAGTAAAAGTAGGGGTATTCTTTTGCAATGGTTTTCCATAGGCAGCATCAAGTGAAAATAAAATCTCATGATTAAACAAATGGAGCTTTAAACCAGGGAAATGTATCTAGATAGGTATTATGGGAGATTCAGTTTTACGATCAAAAGCTACGCTCCATTTCAAAATTTTCATATAACTATCCTCAATACGGATCGTTCTTCAAGAAAATATACGCATGTAATCTTCATCGTTCGAGAGTTGTATTAAAATGTGACTCCCATCTAAAAGCCCTATCTTCCAAGAGCCTTTGAGTTTCATAAGCTCAAACACCTTTCTAATAAACTCAAGGTTAGGATGACCATATCAAAACTTACCAACGAGAGCAAGCCGACAAGAAGAGGCAAGGATTTTTGAGTCAACAAAAGTCAAGTAAAGAGCAAATCTTCCTCGCAATTGGATTAATAAAGTTATAATCACTATAGTCACCACCAACATTCAGAGTATCATGGAAAGCTTGAGGGAAGAGACGGGAGAAAGTAGAGGTTGAAGTCCCACCACCAGCCACAGCGGCAGTGAAACTCCTATCAAGAGGCATCAGAACAAGGAAAAACAGACAGAAGAAGAACAAAAAAGAGCTCACCCAAGCAAACCGTCGGAGGGAACACCATTTTTGCCAGAGCCAACGCCATTACATATATATATATATAGTGGTGTGAGT